CTAAGTCTACAGCTTCTTTCCTGAACTTATCCTAACCAGTTTGATGCCTTTTTCAAATGAATCCTAAATCGGCTAGCTTCATATGTCGATAGGTTGGTGGCTGTGTTGCCAATAAATACCCCCATTCAAATTAACGAATTCAACTAAAGAACAATCCTAAATAATTTACTCATTTCCCCCATCAGTCTATTACAAGACTAAATACTACCCCTGTCAAAATTGAGTAAATAGTTGCAACAGTTGAAGACCAGCTGATTTTGGCCTTCATATATTGGCCACATCGATAGGTTATTTCTCAAAGCCGTTCACCAAAATAACAGAAACTATCAAAAAGTATGAATTGTCCTTACTTTGATACGTCTTCTGCATTAAATCTGGAATGTTTTAGCAAAAGATGAGAAAGCTTTTTCTGTTCACCTTCCAATTTGGTTACCTATCAATCATTTTCAAGTCCTCTTTCATTTCACCGTGCATAATCGTTGTTTCTGAGGTACATAGCTAGCATACATACATAAAATAGACACTAGCTAAAGTCTACGAAAATCGGTAACTTTTTCGTCCTAGCTAGTTGTTTCGACGGATAAGTCGCATTCAGTCGCTTCATCCTAGTTCAGTGCGGTTGGCTTTCAAGATAAATTGTAGCCGGATAATTTGAGTTACTTATTCCTATGATAAGCGAATATTCTGTCGCATATGTCGCTAGGCTAGTGGATATAGAGAGAGTTACAGGATTACATGTGACATAATCTGATAAGTAGCCAGTTCTCAAAATATAATAAAAACTGGTAATAAAAGAATATATTTGAAATAAACTTAGTTTTTGCTTCAACCATAAGATTTATTACAACATTCGTTTAAACAACAAAATCTTAGAAGCATCTGATGTTTTTAATAAGCAATTTCAACGATAAAATATCCATGGTCTAAAAATTATACGCTAAAACAAGGTTCTGTACCGAAAAAACACCATCCCTGTCTGCTGAATTTGAAGTTAGTGCATGGTACAAGGTTTTATCTTCAAGCTTGCTGTTGAAAATTATTTTCAAAATACATTTTAACCAGTAGTGTATGGGATGTACCATAATTCTCAATACTATCCACTATGTAGAGACGACTTTTAAATAAAAGTTGTGTTTGCTTTCCTTCAGTGTCTTTACTGTTTTGGTTGCATCTATAAAAGATAACTGGTTCATTTTCTGTAAACGTTAAAAATAATTTTATTTGAAGCTTTAAGCACTTCACATTTCAACAACAATCAATATGTTAGGCTTACATTTTGTCTTAGTATATATAACCGCTGGACCTTGTACCGTTTTTCTGCAAGTTATAATATCACACTTGTATATGAAAACGTTTAGGGTCTTCCGAACAGCATGGTCGGACATCTGAGTTACTTAGCATATGCTTCGCACCTTTCAAGTCCTAAACGCTGCTTCAGTACTGGTTCACACCCGCTTCTTAATTGAAGACAAGAAATGAAATGATGGGATGCAGTAATATTTGATTTATCTGAGTTGCATTAGCTGTAATGAAGTAGTTGCAAATGAGACCTAGATCGGCTACAAAAGGCTTTTTAGCTGTTCGCCGACCCCACCATCTGAGGCATCGGTGAGATATCAAACTATGTTTCAAAGGCGTAGCATACTTTGCAATAGTTTGCTTTGTCCTATTTTACAGCAGACATATAGCAATCGAAAGCTTAGGACGCGGGGAACCTATATGCTTGTTACCATTGGTGTCTTCGTAACAATGTGTCATATGTGGGGAAATCACCGCATAAGGAATGTTGAGGTTAGATGTATAGCTCTAGGCAGTGAAAGTAAGTCAGTTGATGAAATGGTTCGGACATGTGTTGAACACTTTAAGCGGCCACATAACAGGACTTGCGGTGTTAGCAAGATTGTAATCGGGCATAAAAAAGTTAAGGTTAGTGAAACCAAGAAGTTGAACCATTCCGTGAGGATTTTCGCAGCTGAGTTTGAGCCATATATAGACATATTGGCTGAAGATAATATAAATTAACAGTTAACAGTTAAAAATAAGCATAGCAAGTTAAGTGTGTGAACTCCATATCATATCTAAAATTTGGGATGCTTTCACTAACTCTAGCTTATCTACCCCTTCCCCTATCCTACACTTTCGCTTACTTTATTGTCAGTCGTTTTCCTATCCATTCTTTCTATGCATGCTGATATGAAATCGGGTAATTTAATCCAATGCTTTCTCACACCAGGTTTGATGTTAGTCTGAACTGATACTATTTCAGTCAACGTTCTAAGTCGACTGGTCTGTCGAATGTCGTGGTGCTCTTGTAAACTGAAAGGTAACAGTGACCAAAATAACGCGCATATTGACTTTATATACCGACTAATTAATCTCACTTATCATTACAGCGTGGAACGTTGTACTTAGTTGCTTCGTATCTCAGAAGTATGTGTGACATAGCAGATAACCAAGAATGGCTAATGAAAGTTATAGCTACAAATAGCTGAGGCCTAAACACATGCAAACGTTTTAGCTTGGTCCTTTGCATTAGTTGGCTGAAAGCCAAACCGTTATTGCAGTAATAAGTTTCATGGCATAAGTAAACGCCAAGATAAACAACAATACTCAATTTGCACATGAAAATGATGTAAAATGCATTTTATTTGACTGTTTTATTCATTTCATGTCGACACACATAAACTGATCCATTAGCCAATGTCGTTTTTACGGGTGAGATAAGCCTAAAGTTTAAAGAGCTTAATAACAGTTAAAATACTAAACGAAAGCACCGTATTAATAAGCTGATCATTAAAGTTTTATTCAGAAGAAATACATTACCATAAAATGTCAAAATGTGATGCTTAGTTACTTTGCTAAGAGTCAAGATTTTGTAATAAAATTTCAAATCGATATGCTATAGAAATATTTCAGCGTTTGAAATTCATTGAGATGCAACACGTTTATGATAATGCCTTTCAGACAGAGTACCTACCCAAACCGATCAGTACAATAATTATCCAAATCATTGAAGAAATTCAATGAAAACATAAGTGATCTTAGTTTGAAAATATGTAAGCAATCCTAGTTTTAACACCCAATGGTTTTGTTCAACAATGTCAGAAAAAAAATAATACAATCGTTAGTGGATGATAAAACTCAAGTAAACCTTATTTACTGGAATAAGGACATAAAGGTTTTCTTTCCATAATGATCAAAAGTGTGATGAGTTCAAGCTGACAGCAACATAGGATGTTTTAACAGTCTCTTAAGCACGACAGTTCCAAAAACATATGGAACGACAGTTACGAGGATAAAATATCTTAACTTGTATGAATGTACTTCAGATTTCATCTATTTATATGAAAGAATCATGCTTATATACGAAGCTAGTTGAAAAACTTAAGCCTTCTCAACCTAAGCAACGAAACGTCTTTGTCTGAACTAATAAAAACCAAGAAGTAAGGAATCTGTTTGGAGGTGAAAGAGGAGGTATTTAGGGATTTAGGTTTGATATTTTGTGTTCTGAAAAAAGTCACATCAAAGTTACCATAAACAAAAACGGAGGGGTTCAAGCCACTTTGGATCTGTATAAAAATGACCAGTATGGTGTAAACCTTAGTCTTACTTCAATGTTTCAAATGATATCTGAAAGTAAATGAGGTTAGTGAAATCCTATTTCTGTCTATAATATTATGTGACCATATTTCGAAAAATACCTCTGGGTTCAAAAGCAGAATAGCCACAAACTCCGTGATGAAAATCTCGTCTTAAGAGAGTAAACATCAACCGTTACATATAACAGCGGATCGCAGATTCTTACCACAGTCTTCTACTGCAAACTGTAAGGGTTTTACGTTGTTCTAGCTAATTGCAACCCTAGAATTTAGAAAATATAATACTGTTCACTTTGGGCACATTTACGGCTCATGTTTCTCTTAAAAGCAGGATTACAATCAATCTTATGGCAGACAACAACTACAATTTATCCACACAGTGAAACATGCTTACAAATTCAGGTGACAGGCTTTGAAGAAGCATTATGAGGTTCTGATTTGAAATCGATATTTAGTGGGTTTGTCAAAGCACCTTTATAAACGGTTTCATTTTCGCTGTTATATGATAAATTGAAAACTGGCGGCACTGTCAGTTGCAGAAAAGCAGTAAAGATGGTAAACTTCATCTGTTTTTAGAACAATCTAGATGTATCGTTTGAGGGTTCTTACAGTCAAACTTGAAAGATGTTTCACCGCTCACAGCAGTATAAGAGCGAAATATAGCCTTACAACGGCTGGTTGTAACTCTCTTATGCATTGGTTAACTCTTGAAATCCACTATTGAGAGGATTTTATTAGTTCGTTGGCTGAACACTCGGGCTTTGACAGTCATCTTTCACCAAAACAAGAAATTGAAACTGAGTTTTAAATCTTACTGAGTTTGCAACTAGTATAACAGCCTAATGAATGATATATTTAGGATGTCGTTCGCACCATTTTTAATTAGAAAATGACTGGCACGATGTCGCACTCAAGCCTATTCAAATAGAGTCCAAGATAAAACCACCAGAAGAAAGACTGAGAGACCTAAGTTCCATAGACGTTCCTATTGCTTAGTAAAGCATTTCGGCAAGAGAAGGTTTGCTAAAGTCTAGGGATGATAGGATATTAGTAACTGTCGCCACGGATTTTACTTAAGCGTCTAATGAGATTTCTCAGTGCAAATTTTTTATGGAATTTGAATGTGATGAAGCCCTAGGAAACCCGCCCGCATAGACAGGAGAAATAAGCAAGGCTAGCTATAATGTATTCCTAAGATTTGTTTGGTTAATGAATCAATCTGAATAGAGTTCATCACTGTTAAGCACATACATCAAAAACTGACGTGTATAAAAATTTTCGGCTAATTTTTCATGCATTAGGGAAATAGAGTCTCAAACAATAAACTGTAGTCTGCAGGCAGAATAAATATGACGTGCTTTTTTCAGCTTTAGCGTATTCAGTAGGATTTTTATGACTTACCAAGATCTACTGTGAGGTTAACAGAGTCTCTGAAGTGTAGTAGTTTGTTATCCGCCATTGTTTCTGACTGCCACCAGTTATTAGGATTTTTATCTGTCATATGTTCCGGCGGATGACTTTCATCTGGGTTCCGTGAATCGCAGTACTGACATCTACTAGCCATTCCGGAGTTTGACATATGTATGCAGTATTTCTGTCTTCCTTTTTCACCACAGGTGTTGGTTGCTGTAACTTTTCTGTCTGCTGCCGCACTGGTAAATGGAGGGTAACACATTTGCGGCTTTCCAGTTGTATCTACACATTCACTCGAAACCCATCGTGTGTCGAAAGGTTCTTGTAAGTTAGCGAACTTTATTGCGGTTATTACAATGAGGCATTTGAGTATAACCAGAACCATATCTGAATAGTTAGAGCGATATTTAGTCTTGGAAGTCACATAAGCGCTGTGAGGTACTTGGGTCGTTCGGCAATATCTTATGCGTTAAAACAAGTCAATTTTATTGTCAACTCGTAAATTTAGTGGCAATTCCTTTATTATTTTGCTACCAATCACACACTTTTCGCAGAATATTCGAACTAAAGCAGTTACTAACACTTGCTTCCTCTATAAATTTCTGTGCAAATCAGCCTAGTCCTCCAAATTACTACTAGCAGCACTGTATAGATTTAGTTTCTTTTCAGAGTAATCATTGTATGATAAAGATGCTATCTGAAGTGACACGTTTCCAACTAAAGGTGTATCTAATGCAGGCATTCATCGGAGGGAAAGTTTGGAAAACACTCTTGTCATACTTATTTTCTAAATTCGTTGTGCTAAACCTAATGCAAGGTTTGAAACATAGCTACTCCAGTTTTCAGCAATATAAACAGCAGACCATTCGTCCTGTGTTAATTCTCGCAGCCAATATCTCTCTTGAGATTTAGCTTCATCTTGAACGCGGTAACCCATGGGGCTGATTCTACTTGCTGAGGTACAGATTACCAGTCATTGACCACACGGCAAGAGAAAAGTGGATTCACGCTTTGCCGGTCTGATAGTGGTTTATAAACTTTAATGTTGCTAGTTCGGAGTCAGTCAATTCTGGTAGAAGGAAAAAGGAAAGACATGTCACTGCCGTATCCATTACCAAAGGTACTGATACCAAAATGAGATTACCCCTTTCCTGCTGCAAGGTGGCGGAAAAAAAGCTGCTCTAATCCTTCTTCTCAGAGCAGATTCGAAAGGCCAACGGCAAGCTTGGGACCCACCGTCTCAACAAGTTGTAGTACTCTAGCTTCCCTTTTAAGGCGTGTACTGGCCGCTTGAGTGCAGCGCTCTAAGTGCTGTCTAGCACAGGAAGAACAGAGTATCCAGAAGAGGATATCCCAGTCAGAACTCTTCAAGGCTTTACAGATGACCCGTGATACGTAGGAACCGTTCCCTGCAGCTTCATAACAGTATGTTGAGGCTTTGAAATTAAGGTTAATGATGACCTATGAGTTTTTCAGTTAGAAGACTGTGAATAGGGGTGAACCATCAACAGAACACCAGAAACAATTTTTGTGATAAGTGCTGACTATTGCTCTCTCTTACTAGAGTTAATGTCCAGTCACCAGCGTTTGAATCAACTCGCCAGTGCATCAACATCTGCCGGAAGAGCATGCTTATCAGCCCCTTTACGTATGCCGCTCTACAGTTTCGATGAATAGTATCATTTAAGAGTTGAGCATTCCGGGTAACTTTTTGTGCATCGCAGGGGAAAGAAAGGACCTAAGATTTATCCGTTCAGGAACTAAACCCATGATGGGCTTCTTCCCGAAGAGTGTGCCATAAACCCTCGCCCTCCCTAACCTAGGCATGCAGTGCGGCACCGAACCCGGAAGAGGAGGGCTTTCCCGGTAATTTTGCATGAGACCCTTTATTCGAACCCTTACCAAGATCTATGAATATGGCGTCAGTAAACAGTCTGGAATCACGGGCCTCTGTTCATTCCTCTCTAGCGATGAAGAGGCTTGATAGTCAAAGGTGTCTAGTACGAGAACCTTGTTAATGCGGTGTCAAAAGATTATTTTATTCAATGTGGTTGAGTACCTTATCACGAAATGTTTTTTTAAAACCTAATGGCTGTGATAGACTCACAGGGCCACGGTTACCTATCAACCAACGTCTACTTGTCATAAAAGTGGTTTGATTATAGAACCCTTCCAGTCTTTACGGTGATGGGTCCAAGGCAGGGAGATATTGAAAACATCAGTGAATGGCTTAGCAACGATATCCGCAAGCAAAGATAGCAGCATGGGCCACAAGCCCTTAGGACCTAGGTATTTTCTGGGCCCAAGACTGATGAACAGCTGGAAGACTATTTCTTTTCTTGTGAACGCGGCGCCCATTAGCTGGGTGTCGCAAGCATTTCCGTTGGGCCCTTAGCACCAAGATCCATGCAGAAAACTTCACCAAAGTCGTCGGAAAAGCATTCAGCTTTGGACAGATCAGATTCCACCAGACTATGAGACCTTTCATCAGTGAGACAGCCTCCCATATTTTCTTTTGTTTCTTCTTCTAGTGAATGCGAACAGTCTTTTGGGGTAGATTTGTCAGTCATTTACAAGCTGCCAGTCACATGACACCCAAGGCCATATAATCAAAGCTTTGCGCAGATTCCAGGTTTCACAGCACATAGTCCTCAACGTTTCCAACCCAGTCTCCAAGACCGAACTCCGTAAACGTTTGCTGCATTCCAGGGGCTCCTGAGTATCCTTACCAAGCAACTAGGGGCGATAAGAGGATCTTCATGCGGCCGACATGGGACAAGTGATGTCACTACCCTTTCGGATGGGATCCCGCACCTACCGCAGGCGTTCGCGACTCGTGAGTCCGTATCAACAGTTCGGTATTTGTTGACAGCACAACCCCTTATACTTCAAGTTTCTGGGAGTCATACATTAGATTGAGGGGAAGTAGTGTCATAATCAAACTCATGCGCTCGAAAACTGAAATTTAGCCCTAAATAATATGTGTACGCTGTCCTAGGGAAGTGAAGAAGACCCATAATATCTTCACGAAGGTAGTTCTGGACGAAATCTGATAACGAAGGCTTGTGCTCCAAATCGCGTCATGTTGAACAAGTTACTCGTTGAACTACAGAAGATTCCAGATAAGTTAAAAGTGGATCATTTTCGAAACAACTGCCTGGGGCTAAGACTTTAAGTTTCGTCCAGATTACGTATGAAGCGTTCAGATCTCAAACTATTAGGCCTCTCCTGCTCTTAATCCATTTACGCGCATAGGCGAGCACGAAGCAATTTGCAGAGCAAGATGAACCGCAGTAATTTATCTCGGTAGTGACGGAACCTATTTCTGGCTTGAACTCACAACTAGGAGTGTGGTAAAACCCTTTATCAGTAGCAGCTACTATATCAAGACCTGGTTCACGGACTACAGTCTCGAGCTCTGTTAGTTTACTCCTGATATTGCAAAAAATGTTGTAGGCTATGTTTGGTTTTCGAAAAGTTCCACGATTCACCCACAGTGCTCTTGGAAGGATCGTTCTTAGGTTCTCACAACCCAGAAACTCAAATTCTGAGATTGCTTTCCCCTTTCAGTCGTCGAGCTTGTAGTCCCGAGACCGCCTCCTTTCTCTTTATCGGGCGCTGGAGCGGCTGGTCTGATTGGATGGGGGGGTGATAGCTGACTTGATCAGCTCCAGATCATGCTTTTGACGTATTGGGGTGTTTGTTCACTGACTCTTCGAGATTCCAGACGATCACGCTGGACCGTGGTAAAACATCCTCTTCGGTACCGGTGAGGCAGCGTTGCTTACTAACTGGGTAATATGCAACAATGATTCACCATTAGATTTCATGTCGCACTTTTCCGTAGTAACACGCCATGTCACCATCTGATTCCACACTGGGCTAGCAGTTATCATCAACGCCAACCATTTTCCTGCCAAAGGCATTCTGACGGCCTCGCGAATATTAACTGACAAAGATTTACGATAAAAGGTCACATAATCATGAAGAGGCTGGTTTACCGCAACTCGTATATGAGGTTGATGTGAATCCGGGGACAACTTTGTGGAGCCAGACATCCATATCCGTCCCTTTACTACCTTCGTCAACTGGGAATAGCCAGTTGGGTCGACCACAAACATAGCTATCTCCAACCGCTCCGTCCACAATTAAGTAGAAACATACGTAAACCGAATCATCCAGTCAAAGTTAAGCCAGGGAGACTTAAGTCGCGGCTTGAGTTACATTCTTGGCAAACTGAAATTCAGACTCCAGGTAATTGTCTGCTGGCATCTCCCAAAGATCAGAAGGCACGATGACTCCGAAGTCAGTATTACAAGCAGTGTGTGACAACAATGCTGGGGCTTAAATAGTCTTTGGTTTCCAAAAGCCACCAGGTGGATCAGAGTGCTGGGTGAACTTGTCACAAAAGATAGCGAACCTTAATCGCCCTATTCTACCTCCAGTGTTGGGATTGTCGGTGGCCGTACTCGGAGGAAAATCTCTATCTCTAGTTCGTTTATGTGTAGGAGGACTAAAAGACAACCCCAAGGCAAAACAGAGCCTATCTTCGCCCTGGAAACAAAAGCCCAACCCACGTTTTCCTCTCTCGGGATAGCCAAAGATTGAAAATTTTGCCATCTTCGGCACATGACCAGTAGAAACATTACTACACTGAGTCAAAGTGGGTTCCTAAACTCAGGGTTTTATGCTACTTGCCATGTTGGCTTCTTAAACTCCAAAACCGTCATGTGTGACCAACATCAATTAGTCCTTGTACTTTGTCTAGACGTTTCAAAAGCATTTGACACAGGTGATCATTTACCGTTATCGGGTAAGTTAAAGTCTCTGGGACTTGACTATCCATCGCTGGATGGACTGAGCCTCTCCTCAGTGATCGCACCCAGGTGGTGAAGGTAGACTGACACACTTCAAACCCTGGCCAATTATCTCTGGTGTAGGTCAGGGCAATGCATTGGGGCCCTCTCTCCTTACTTTGTACGTCAATGAAATTTGCAGCTGCTTTACATAAGGTAAACCATTCTTGTTTGCTGGTGACCTAAAAGCTGCATACACATTTGCCCGTGGTGATTTATCCCACTTCCAAGCACTATTACAAAGGGGGCTTGATATAATATCCACATGGTCTACTACTTGGCAGATTCAGTTCAGTACAAACAAATATGACTGGACATATTTTGGTGTCCCATCGGCAGACATCTAACCACATCCACGGTATGTGAATTTACCTGTCCTCAAGTGTCTGTCATCTTGGACTAAGAT